TCAGACCAATGCTATGGGTGTTTATGTGTCAGTTGACGTGTGCATGTATGTAAGGTAACTCTAACTATTTGTAACTGCCAGGCCGTTTTCTAAAGCAGATGCACCATTTAACATTCTCATCAGTGTAGGAGGGTTCCGATCTCTCTACATCCTCACAACATTTGTTATTACCTGTCTATTCGATTATAGTTATCCTAGTAGGTATGAAGTAGTATTTCATTGTGGGGTTGATTTGCAATTCACTGATGTCACACTGCTGTTTGCCCTCTGTCCATCCACATTCTGTTAAGGCCCATTCTGCTGGTACATTTGCTCTGGGATGCAGTTTTGCAAGAAAACAGCAAGTTCCCTTGTAGTTGTTTTTTCAGAAATTATAGAACTCACTTACTTTATCATTGCTTTTGAGGCATAGTTTCAAACTGACAGCCGGGGTGATTGTATCTCACCATTTTCATGCTCAGTTAGATGTCAAATACCTTTACACTGTTCAGGGTCAGATTTCTACATAGGGCTCCTTTCCCCTAAGAGCAGGCTCTGTAAGTAAAAGTCGTAAGAGTCAGTCCTAGGAAAATGTTGTTTAAAATTTCCTATTACAAAAGAATTTTCCCCAAAGTCCTTTCTTAAACAGGCACAGAATATTCTAAGATCACCTTCAAATTGTAGTGATTTAAATGATTCTGAATATGCAGAGAAAGAAAGAAAACACGAACACAGGCTAGCAGTGGAAAGCTAGAAATCGAGGTGTAGAATGCCCTCCCACCCAGGGCGAGTGACTTGCCCGCAGAGGCTGTGCCATCCTCCCCGATCCAGTGTTCAGGGCTTCATGCACCCAACTCTTTAATAAATAACAAGTGCCACAATCACAGGTTTTAGGATGATGGCAAACAGCAAAAGAGACCCGGGCTTTGCTTTCACAGAGCTTAGTGGGCAAGGCACAAAGGTTAGTCAATCAAACTGGCTGCGTTAAGAAGGAACAGTATGGGGTGCTCTAGGATTGAGATGACCTGTGGCTTGGTTTTTACCAATATTCTCCTCCTTGTACTCACCTCAAATAATCGTGCAGTGGGAGATACTCCATCCCAGCATAACTTGGGTATGATTTCTGTAGCCAAGTCGTTCTTAGCATCTTGGGAGGTGAAGCGTTTGGAGAAACCTGTTTTTGTTTCTACTGTTCCCTGTCTTCCTCATCTTTCTGTCCTATTCCCACCTATCCTTTAACACATGCACTGTTCAAATACTACTTTTCCAGTGAAATATCAGCATCACTGTCAATATCCTGATGGCTTCCAGAAATACACATTCCGCTTCTCCCCTGAATTCCTGTGGCACCTTGTGCCTGCACTGTAGCACTTATATTGTGGAAGGAAATTTCTTTATCTGTTGGCTTTCCTCACCAGTCAGCGAACACCTCAGAATAAGGATTTGTAGCTGGGTTGTTTATGTTTTCAGCTCCAAGATCAATACTTTGCAAGTGATCAGTAATTGCTAAATGAATGAATGTACCAATATATGAGTCAGAAATCACATGGGCCCAGATTCTTTCTTCTAGCTCAGAGTAACTTGTCATTGAAATAGCAATATATTGTCAACTCTTTTGGTCCTTGGTGACAATTTTCCATTGATTCACATTTAATGGGAAAAGATATAAATACATTTTCCTGTTGGAACATTTATTTATAAATCAACTACAACTAGTTAGGGAAAGAAGACTTCTTAGTCAGTTGGTAAAGACCTTTAATGCCAAAGCTAATATTTTATCCTGGGAAACAGAATCTACCTCATCCTTCATAATATTATCTCTAGGCTAAGGAATGAGGAATCAGGTCTTATAGGTCATGAGCAAGCCGGAACATGCAGGGAATAAAAGAAGTGGGCTGGACCCAAGACAGTACCAAGGGCCTGAAGCTATGCAAACTGCCCAGAGAAGAAGCACCTCTTGATCTTGAAGATAAAAGCAAGACCATGAGTCAGAGTCAGGTGGCAGGAAGGAAGCTGGAACTAAGACAGGACTCAGGGTAAGCTGCAAGACACACAAAAAAACGAAAACATACATCTTGGTGCAGGAAGCTCAAAGCCCAGTGTTGTAGCAATAAGGAAAGCAATAGAGATCAGAGCAAAGAAATTGATCGGAAATTTAAGCAAGGACTCGGTAATGATAATCTTGACACAAGCTGATGAGTAGTGTTGAAGAAGATGCAGAATCACAGGAACCTCATGGGAGACCAGACATCCACACATCACTGCTAGAGGCTTTCCAGGATGGCATGAGCTGAGAGCTTCCTGTCATCTCTACTTTGGAGACATGCCATCCTTGCATTTCTCTTAGCTTCAGTTTTACTGTTCCTTGTTAATAGTGGGATTGTGATTTCTATCAAGAAAGGCTATCTTTAAGTTTCATAGACTGTCACAGCATTATCTAATCGGCTCCTCATCCTGTTTCCGGTAGGTTAGGAAAGTGTCTTTAAAACCACTTTATATGTCAAAGGACATGCATTTAGACTATAGGAAGAACTCATAATAAGACTAACAACTTAATAAAATGGGCAAAAGGCTTAAATTGACATTTTGCAAAAAAGATATATGAATGGCCAATAATTACATGAAGGTGGTCAACATCAGAAATCATCAGGAAAATGCTAATCAACACCTTCTTATAAAACCACTAGTAACACTTCATTCTCAATACCAAGGTGAGGATGAGAGACTGAAACGCTCACACGTTGCTGGTGGTCATGTAAAATGGCACGACCACTTTGGACAACTGACCCAGCAATTTCATTCCTAGGTATTTACTGGGGAGAAATCAAAATAGAGACACAGAGGACTTGAACATAATTATTATTAGCAGCTTTATTCATAATAGCTCAAAACTGGAAACAACCCAAAGATCTATCAGTAGGTAAATAGATCAGTTGTAGCTTATGCATGCAATAGATATACTCGGCAACAAGAAGCAACCTATTGATTAAACACCATGGATGAATGTCAGAAACATTGTATTGAACCAAAGAAGCCAAACACACAAGAATTGATCTGTAACATTCCATTTATATGCCGCTCTAGGAGAGGTGGGATTATGATGATAAAAATCAGAAAGTGGTTGCCTCAGTTTAGGGAAATTGACTTACTGGCTTTAGGGGAATTGACATACTTGCTTAAGCAAATGGGCGAGCCAGTGCTTGAACTCAGGCAAACAGATGTCAGAGCTAGGGCCCCTTTGGCTACATCACTCTCCCAGCTTAGAAGGAAGGTGAGGAAGAATGAGGCACAGCAGCGAGGGAGCAGAAGGAAGGCAGGTATCAGGAGAAAGGAAGGCAGGTATCAGGAGAAAGGAAGGGCTCTAGTCACCGAGGCCACATTTCTGTCCTGGGCATGAGGCTCATAATGGACCTGTGATGGAAAGAGGCTGTTTCCATCGTGGCCACCTGCAGGAGTAATTAGGAGGGCTTGACAGGTGTAGGTGAGATAAGCGTCATCATCCAACTGGCCTGCCAGTAGAGAAGGTATTAAAGTTATTCTCTTCTTGGTATCTACCCTGGGATTTTTATCACCAGCCTTGCCTCTCCTAGAGTTGTGTGTAAATGGAATGTTACAGATCAATTCTTGTGTGTTTAGCTGCTTTTGATCAACATAATGTTTCTGAGATTCATCCATGGTGTTGAATCAATAGTTTGTTTTTCGTTGCTGAGTAAATGATAATGTTGTTTTATTCTTAAGATCCTTTAAAAACTCTTCATGGTGTAATAGGTATCCACTGCAGAAAGAAAATATACATAAAAGAAGAAAAAATTAAAACCTCCTATGATCTTATTATCCCGTGATAATCTCTGATCTTTGTTATTGTTTTTCAGTAAATAAAACTTTACTTTAAACAAAAAATGGGATCATACTATATGTGCTGTTTTATAATACGCCTTTAAAACAACATATCAGTGAACATTTCTCTCCATCAGAGGCTATCATTTCTGTTGGATGCATCACATCCCATGGATGGATATATCCAAATTCGTTTAACCAAACCTCTGCTGGTACATATTTAAGCTGTTTGCAGTTTTTAGTTACTACCTACTACCCTCCTACAAGAGAACATCTTGAAGATAACACATTTGGTCATTTTTTCAGTATTTCCTCAAGGAAAGCTCTAAAAGTAGAAATTCTAGGTCAAAAGGTTTAGATATCCTTAAAGAATTTAATACATATTGTCAATATTTGCTTTTAAAATGGTTTTCGCAATTTACATTCTCACCAGCAATGAATGAATGTGTTATTCTGTGTCACTGTAACAGGTGGACTTTAACTCTGGTCCCTGTGCTAAGTGCTACCTCTTCTCATTGAAACCTAATCTGTCGGGATTAGAAATTAACCTTTGATGCTGTCTAGCTCCATCTCCCAAGCAATGCCTGAATTTCCTTTTGGATTCTGCTAGTTTGAAATGAAAACCATTTGTTTTAAAATGTTAATCTGAAAACATGATTGATGTTTAAATGTAGTAGAAAAATTGGAGGAGCCAGAAACAGTGATCATGGGGTCAGAATACCGGGATTTCAGTGCTGGCTGTGTCCCTGTCTGTAGCTGTGTAATCATAAGCTGACTTATCCTGCCTGGGTCTCTGTGTCCCCATCTCTAAGACAAGGGAATTGAGGAGGGCCCAATCCCTCTACCTTGTCTTTAGTTATGACATTCTGTAAATCTTCAGCTATGTAGAGCATTCCTTTCAAGGGTTGGGCTTGTAAATTAAGAGTGGCAGGCCTTTGAAAGGCAGCTTGTGTGGGAAAGGAAGCACACCCAGCAGCTACTTTGCTGCTGGATCATAATTCTGTGTTCTTTGTGAATAAATTGCATCTTGGCTCCCGGATTGTTCCAGGTTGCCTCGGGTTTTACAGAAGTGGCTTTTTCAGAAATGGTTCCCACTGCCGGAAAGTGGGTGTTAATTTGTGCCTTGGCTATTTTTCAGGGCACATTCTGGCAAAATCCTGGCATGTTTTTCAGAGGATCAGCAGATGTAATGACCTAGGACACATGCTCTGTGTAAATACCCCAAATCAAGCCTATAGTCAGAGCCCTAGCTTTTATGATGGAGCCCTTATCCTGGGCCCGCCAAGGGTTTTTGATCAAGTGAAGACACTCTGGGGCATGGACCACAGGAAACAGGGAAGCTGAATGCTTAGTCATGGTTAGCATTTCTGAATGAAGTATGCACTCTCCACTGAAATGGGATACAGGTGGTGTCCTGGAAGAGAAGATAAAGCTAACAGAAATGAAGAGAGAATAAAATAGAATAACATTGGTATCTAGTGGTCCACAGTTTGCAGCCTGCATTAACATACTTGATTTACTCTATATGATGTCCCTGGGATATCATCGTTGCCATTTTGTCCCAATTCATCTGCCCAGAAAATGCAGGAGCTGGAGTGTTGGTGGTGAGTGGCCCAATGGCATCTGCAACAACCTCACGGCTTGGCTTCAGATGCCGTAGACCCCGGCTTCCTTGGCAGACGCTCATAGTCTCACACCTCCTTTCTCCTCTGTGACAATTGAAAAATTACCCTCCTTTCTTACTCTTTGAGTTCATGGTAATAAATTCAAGTCATTTGCCAATCTTCAGTATAATGCAATTGGAAAACACCGTCTAGTATTTCTAAGACTCTAATTTTTTAAAATAACTTCAACTTTTAGTTATTTGCACACCGTCTTCATAATTTATGCCATATCTGTGTACCACCTGTACTATTACTAACGTGTGCTTTCAAACAAATTATAATTTCCTTTTTTTCTTGCTCTAAGAACTATAGTAACTGAAATAATTAATTTGATGTACTAGTTACAGTTTTCTAATATATATAACTTAAAATTTTGTGTTCATTTTTTGTATTATATAATATATCTCACTTCTGCTCCCTTTGGGATACAAACTATACTCTGAGAAACTAAAATGAAATAAAATTTTTAAGTCCTTTCCTTGGTTGAGTTAGCTGCATGCTAAATGTCCAGTTGACACATGTAGCTTAGCGGCTACCATATTGGGCAGGGCAGACTGAGAACCTTCCATCATCACGGGACGTTCTATTGGACAAGCTCTGCCTGAGGTTTGTCCAGAGTATTTAAAGCAGAAGACATTTGACTGCTTTCATTAGCCTAAGCCAAACTAACGTATAAGATTATCAAAAGAAGGATGAATTAATTTACAGACTGCTAGCAAAAATGTCAGATAATAGTTTCTTTCACTGACCACTGTCCAAGTAAGCAGCAAGGCAAGTTGAAGCATCTGCTGTGATAATGGATCGCTTCAACCTGCTCTCAACCTGCTGTCTCTTCTTCCATCCCCACTGCTCCCACTCCTCCCTTCCCTCCTTCCCTGCCCATGTCTCTCTCTTCAGTGTGTGTATGTGTGTTCTCTTTCACGCTGCTGCTTCCTCTTGCTTCACCTCTGTCTCTTAACCTCACTTTCATTCTCGCCTTCAGTCCTTTATCTCCCTTCTGCCTGTTTGACCTTCCCAACCTGCTCAATCTCCCTCATTCAAAATCTTAGTATCTTTGGATTTGTTTTGTAAATTCTTCAAGTACAATAATTTCAGGCCGAAAGACATTCTCATTTGTAACGTGAATAACATGACATTCTCATTTGTAACGTGAATAATAATGCTCCCTAGCAGAATTCCACGAGATGCGCCGACTCTCACTGGCGTCTCGGTCCTGTGTTAATGCACATAAAACAACTGTTTCCTGCTCAAACCCCTGCCTGTCTCTCGCTGATGTAACCATATCAAACTACCTGCTTTACTCCTCATCCAAAGTCCCCTTTAAAGAACAAGCAAATTTGTTTTCTTTTCTTTCTTTATTTTTTATTTATACTTGAAGTTCTGGGGTACCTGTGCAGAACGTGCAGGTGTGTTGCATAGGTATACACGTGCCATGGTGGTTGGCTGCACCCATCAACCTGTCATCTACATTAGGTATTTCTTCTAGCCCTCCTCTAGGCGCCCATCCCGCTTCAGGCCCTGGTGTGTGATGAACAAGAGGAATTTTGACCATGCTTCTCTTCAGGCCTGTGGAAGAAGGCCCAAACCTTGCACTGTGGCATTGGTTACCTTCCTTGAGCAGATGAAAAGCCAAGCATTGCCTTGAAGGCTTGATGCCACTTCTGTTCAATCAGAACTCTCTCCAGAGCTGCAAGGATACTGGAGGTCCCCAGAGGGAGGGTAGTGCTGTGTAGACATATGTATGTTTCATCTGTTGGCCATGAATGTCAAGGAGGAGAACTGACTAGACTGCCTTCTCCTTGTTTTAATTATCCACAGATTCCAGAAAAGAAAGGCCAAGTGTACCCAAGAGCTCTCAGAAGTACAAGATGCTCTGGGGAACATACATGCATTGCTCGGTGCCAGAAAACAGACCCTTCCTTAGGAATACAAAGTTGAAAGTTTCCCTGACTTCTTGCAGGGAAACCTGTTCATACCACCCCCCCACCTCCCCACCCCTTCTAAATGTATTCAATTAGGCTGTGGAAAATTTAATTCCTCTTGCTGATGTATACAAGAAGTTACGATACCTTGGAATCTTTCATCTGTCAGCTTTAAACCATTAAATATAGGATCCACTGTTCTCAGGAAAGTGATGTGATGATCTGCTCTGTTTCTCAGAAAAAGGGAGGCATTTTTCCAAGAGTAGAAGTCCCTACCTGGGTAGGAATGATAGAGACATCCTCTGGCTGGGGTTTGTATTCCTCCAGACTCTGAAAAGGAGAAAGAGATCCAAGTTTAAGTGACTTTAATCTTAGTAAAGTTTTAAAGTTTATGTTATCCCCTGGGTAATATAACTATAATGATTTTTTGAGTGCTTGGAACTTGTGGAGCAATATGTTAGGTGCTGCCGTAAACACAATCTCATTAATCCTCTCAGCCCTGATAGGATGACTCTCCCCCTCCACTGTATTCTAATTAGAGGAATTTGAGTCTCAGAGAGGCAAATAATTTGTCAAAGGCAACACAGCCAATAAATTGTGAGAGCTCAGATTGAAATCCAGGGCAGAGCTTTGTGGTCTTTAGACCCCATGGTTCGGTGTTGGTTTATTCAGCAAATGTTCGTGGATGGTTAATGTGACCAGGCACTTTTGCTCAGGGATTCTACAATGAACTATAAAGGCAAGAATCCCGATCTTATGGAGCATATGCCCCAGAAAGACAGGAAAACAGGAAGTTAAAAAATAATATGATATTTTTTAACAATGAATAAGATAGCATGATGATTTCAGATGTCGGTAAGGCCGTAAGAACAGTAGATGGAGGAAAGTAATAGCGAATGTGGGGCTGCTTTATGTTGGGGTCTCTTAGAAGGACTTTCTGGGATGACTTTTGAACTCAGACCTGAGTGATAGGAAGGATCCAGACTCTAGTGTCGGGTGCAGTGGAAACAGCAAGTGCAAAGGCCCTGGGGTAAGTAAGTGTCATGGCTTTCAGGAACAGCAAGACGGCCAGTTTCGCTGTGTAGCCAGTGGGGGTGAGTGACAATATAAGGTCAGAGATGCAGACAGGCTTTGGATTTTGTTCCAAGGTAATGGGACACCATAAAAGGGTTTGAAGCAGAAGTGGTATGTTACCTGAATTAGGTTTTTTCTTTTTCTTTTTTTTAAGATGGAATCTCACTCTGTCTCCCAGGCTGGAGTGCAGTGGCGTGATCTCAGCTCACTGCAGCCTCTGCCTCCCGGGTTCAAGCGATTCTCCTGCCTCAGCTTCCCAGGTAGCTGGGATTACAGGTGCATACTGCCATGCCCAGCTAACTTTTGTATTTTTAGTAGAGACGGGGTTTCACCATGTTGGCCAGGTTGGTCTCAAATTCCTGACCTCAAGTGATTCAACTGCCTCAGCTTCCCAAAGTGCTGCGATGACAGGCATGAACCACCATGCCTGGCCTGAATTAAGTGTTAAAGATAACTCTGGTATCTGTGTGTGGAATAGAGTGTACAGTAGCAAGACAGGAAGTGGTAAAAATGGTTAGAAGAACACAAACTTCAGAAGCTGGGGGTTTTGAAGGAGAAGGATGGTGCTTTGGAAAGAGCAAGTGGGGAGAGTTGGCAAGAAAAGACTATCCTACCTCCAGGCCCTGGGTGTGAGGAGGGATCCTCAGGGGCCAGCCAGGTCCAGGGAGTGGGCAGAAAGGAAGGAAACATTCAGAAAAGATGATGTAACTCTGAGGGAGTTCCCTGCAGCGGCAAGTTTTTATTGAACATGTGTTGTCTGTCTAGCAGGATCCTAAGTGCCTTTCCCACAATAACTTGTTTAGTCCTGTTGGTAATCCTAAACTGTGGACACTATTAATGGCCCCATATCACATAGGAAACTGACACAGTTAACAAACCTGCAGCAAGTAAGCAATATGGCCTGGTTGGCATTACTAATTTCAGAAGTCCGAGTGGAAAGTGGAGGGGTTGTCAGGGAGGGTTGGAGCGTGCCCTCACTAAGGGAGGGGTCGACCAGTCTAGACATGAGACCCAGATGGCAAACGTGACCTGGGAAGTTGTGATGGAGGTAAAGCTTGCTCTGTGATGCCATTTGCCCTGAATGACACTAGAGGAAGTTTCCCCATCAGTTCAGACCAGAAGCGTGGAGCCTAGGAGTGAATGCTCTTTCTTGAAGCTTCCTGTGGGGTGGGGCCCAGGGCCTCCTCCTTGGGATCGCTTTCTTAGGCAGCTTGTGGGGCAAGAAGAGTTTTATCTAAACAAGGCAGTGTCTGGACCCCTTTTATCCCACTGCCCTGGAGTTGGAGAATGTTCATATTTACACGTTTCTGGGATGTTTTACTGCGATTTTCATTTGGAGATAATAGGGAACATTCATTAGGCACTTACACTGTGTCAGGTTCTATGCTGAGCACTTGACATACAGTATTCCCTCAGTAAACACAACAGTCTTACGACAGCTACTATTCTTGCTCCCCTTTTTCTGATGGATTAACTGAATTCTAAATACGTTACATCATTTGCCCAAAGTGCTATATAGTAAGTGGTGGACCTGAGATTTAAACCTTACAACCTGATACCAGAGATTGTATCCTCACTCTGCCGTAAGTGAGGAAGATATGTTTGCTAGGTTAGGAGCAATGCTGCCCAAGAAGTCTCCGTAAGTCCCAAAAGAATGGGTGATGTAAAGTCTCTGTAAATCCCAAAAGAATGGGTGTTCCTCTTCAACACCAAGTTTGAAGAGGAACCTTGAGAATGAATGGCTAGCGTCTTCCTTCCATGACCATACTGATTTTGAAATGTTGGTGGATCAACTACCAACATCAGCGATGCACCTGAAGATAATGGACTCGGGAGAAGACAAGGGTGAGAAAGGGAAATTGTTGTGAATAGAGAAAAGGAAATTATTGGTTTACTTAACTTGTCTTCCACTACTTTACCTAGAAGTAACAGTACACAAATAATACTTTCTCCCCCTTTTAATTCCACAAAATGAACGCCTAACAAAGCTGCCTACTTCCCCACTCTCCCTGCAGACAAGAAAAATGGTGGGATTATGGATAATTTTTTGGTAAGACGTTTTAGTATTCCATTATTTTAAAAGATAACAAATATACAGACTGTTTTTAAAAGAAACTGTCTAAATAAATGAAATAAGATTCTTTAGGCATCATATTTAATTGAATTCATTTCATCACTTAAAAAAATATTTTTTCTTTGACATTCATCTATTCCTATCCAAAAGCATGGGTGGATGATTGGATCTCAGTTTTCCTAGGCTCCAAGATCCTGGCTGAGTTACTTTTTAATTACTCGTCTGTGTTTCTCCAACTTGAAAATACCTAGACTTCCAAGACAACCGAACTACCTTGGAAGAGCCATGAATTTCCCTGCCAAATGGCCATGAGTAAGAAGATGACCTCTCAGGTTGCTCTCAGCTCCTCATGTGTGTTCTAAAAGAATTCATTAACCTGTAGATCAATTTGGTTTTTGTTTTGGTTTTTTTGTTGACTCACCCGGTGGATCAGATTTTGCTGTCACTAAAAGTTTAAGCTCCTTGAAGAAAAAAGTTATGAATAATAGGCATGTGTTTACTCATTTTGCAAATGTATGTTGAGGGCCTACTGTGTTCCAGACTCCAGATGCCAAAATGAATAAGCTGGTATCCTCCTTCTTAAGGGTTCGTTGTTTCAAGAAATTATTATAAAAATTTGGTGAGGGACAAATACAGTCACCTGTGTGGTGAGCCGGTCTGCGTCCCTTTGTGTAAAACATTCCTTGAAAGTTAAAGCCCTAATGTCTTGAACATACTCATATAAAATATTCATCATCAGCTCACCGTTACAGTTTTTCACCCTTTTACACCTGATGTGAACCTGGGCTTTGCACCTCATGGAGGCATATACCTGCTCTGTAAGATGAAGTGATATTACCCAGAGAGACCACCTAGCTGGAAAGTGGCAGAGGCTGGCCTTGAACTTCGAATTCCTACTTCAGGGTACTTTCTTCTGTAAATCCTCCATGTTATCTGTGTACTTTACTTACCTTTCCAAGTGTTACTACTATTAATATTATTCTTACAACGAAGTTATTTAGCCCACATGTTTTACTGTAGCGACACGGTAGAGGCAAAGTCAAAGCTGTCCTTTGGGCTGTCTCTCCAGTCCAGGACATGCACAGTTGCGGACAGATCATAGAAGACAGCTTCTCTTTGAAGGTATGGGGTTAGGAGTGGCGATGAGGGAAGTCTAGGACAATAAGAGGAACACGCAAGTGCTGATTGAGTGTTTGGAAAAGTGAGAAAGAGAAAATCATCGATTGAAAGAGATGTATTCAGAATTTCGTACTTAAGTATGACCAATTCTGAATGTCATGGTTGTCACCTAATATGTGCTCAGTAAACACATGTTGACTGAATGAATAAATGTGGGGTGAAGAAATACAAAGCAAGGAGAGCAAGCCAACCCAGAATCTCCCTTGACTTTCTGTGAACCTCATGGAATAGATGATTTAACACCTGTATGTCTCTAGGTAGAACTGAAAGGTGTCAGTGGCAGAGTTTATGGATATCTACCTTTAGATATTTAGAAAAGGAGTAGGTTTTGTATACCTGGAAGATGAAAGGGAGGATTTAGTAAGTTCAAAAGAGAAAGACTTTGGGACCAGCAACTTAATGAGACTCCAGCCTGAACCATGGAAAGGAGGCAGCCAAGCCTGTCTAGATGCCTGCCTTGCATGACATCAACGCACATGTGCCCGCCACACTGAGGGTCATGCCTGGTTATCTGGCACGTTATGGAAACAAAAGAGTCAACCCTTTGGGATAAGTCAGTGTTAGCTCATGTTGCTTCATTTTTGGAGATGAGTAAAAAGATGTGATGACTGCAGCAGCTTCCTATAACTTCTGTAATCAAGTACCACAAACTCAGTGGCTTGAAACAACAGAAATCAATTCTCTCACAGTTCTGGAAACTGTACATCAAGAATCAAGGCCAACAGGTTTGTGCTCCCTTCTGAGGCTCCAAGGGATACTCATTCCTGGTCTCTTCCGGTTTCTGTGGACTCCAGGCTGGTCTCTTCCGGTTTCTGTGGACATTCCTTGACCCCTGGCTGCATCCCTCCAGCCTCTGCCTCCATCATCACATGGACTTCTCTTCTCTCTGTGTTTATCTTCTGTGTTTCTCTCATAAGGACACATGCTGTTGGATTTAGGGCCCACCTGGACAGTCCAGGATGACCTCATCATCAGATCCTTAATCACATCTGCAAAGACCCTT